TCTAAATAAAAAAAGGGATTACATTAAGACACACTGCCATTAATGCCTCTCAAAATACTGCCCTCATTTCAAACACACTTATTTCATCCTTCTTGTGCTATTTTTTTTTTTTTGGTACCGGGGATCAAACTCGGGTCCTTGCGCTTGCGAGGCAGGCACTGAAACCACTGAGCTATACTCCCAGGCCATTCTTGCTATTTTTTGAAGGTGTTCTTGAAGACCTCTCCACGACTGTCTTTAGTTTCACTGTTGTGGCTGCTTCGACATCCTGAACCAATTCAAAACATTTACCTTTCCTGGTCATTTTGACTCTGAAAAAGAGCCAGAAGCCACATGGTATCACATCTGGTGAGTAAGGTGGATGAGGACAGTATAATGTTTTTATGGGCCTGACTGACAGCACTTGACAGCATTCATTGTTTTGGGTTTTTTTTGGTACTGGGGATCGAACTTGGGTCCTTCCACTTGCAAGGCAGCCGGGGGAACCACTGAGCTAATAAATCCCTGGCCCCTAAATTTTTTTTTTTTTTGGTATTCATTGTATTCTTTATCATACCTTATAAAGACATTCAGGAAACAGGATTTCCAGACCTGCTCCAGAAAGTAGCAAGAATAATGAGATAAGTATATTGGAAGCAAAGGGTGGTTTTTGAGGGGGCTTCATGGCCATGTGTCAATTTCCTTTTTGTTTTTATGAGACAGGATCTCACTGTATAGTTTAGACTGACCTTGAACTTAATCCAGGCTGGCCTCGAACTCACAGCAATCCTCCTGCCTCAGCCTCCCAAGTGCTGGGATTACAGGTATACACCACCCCATGCCTGGCTTTATTTTTTTGAGAAATTTTTTTTTTTGGTACCAGGGATCGAACTCTGGTCCTTGTGCTTTCGAGACAGGTGGGGTAACCACTGAGCTAAATCCCTGGCCCAATTTATTATTTCTATTAGCACATGTTTGTAGTATATAATGATTGTATTTATTGTGGGGAGTTGGTACATGTACATAACACATCTTAAGGTGATGTGTCTTTAACTTTTATTTAGGGTTTTATTGGAGACAGGGTATCACTATGTAGACTGGCTAGCCTTGAACCTGCAGACATGTGCCACCATGCCCAGCTGTGTCTTTTATTATAATAAACTTCAAAAATTTAAACACTTACCCTATATTGATCACCCCTTTAAATTCCCTTCCCTTGAATACAGAATCGATTTACTAACTCACTTCTAAAGAATAAAATATGACAGAAGTAACAAGATGTCACTTCCAGCATTAGAGTACAACACAGGTGCTTTGGTTGCTGTGTTTGCTCAGTTGCTCATTCTGAAGCCAGCCAGCTAGCATGTTCTGAAATGTCTTGTGGAGAGGTCAGTAGGGCAAGGAACACAGAGCTTGGGCAGCAGCCACAGAGAACTGAGGCCTCAGTTCAACAGCCCATGAGGAGCTAGCCTGTCCACAACATGCCAAGCCTGGGGGCTGGTCCTCCCATATGGGGCCTCCCTGTGAGGCTGAAGCCTACTGGGACTCTGCCGACAGCTCTGGAGATGCCCTGAGCAAGGCCGACAGGACACCTACCCTGACTCCTGACCTGCAGAGGCTACGGACAGTGAATGCTGTCTGAAGCCAGTATATTTTGGGGTAATTTGTTATACAGATTAGGTAACTAATACAGGAACATTATGGAAGAACCAGATATATTTTAGGAGAAATTGTCCTACAAGAATCAGATTTGGCTGTGTGTGTGTGTGTGTGTGTGTGTGTGCGCACTCGTGTGCTGGAGATCAAACCCAGAGGACTCTGAGCATCCTACACATTCTACCACTGAGTTATACCCTAGCCCCAGAGAGTAACACTTTTAAAAGCCTGAGTTTGAGTTTCTAAGGAACCATCTTTCAATTTTAGATACATAAATAAATCATCTCATAAAATGTCTTATCTAGCTTATCTAACCTTTGTATCTGTACTTGGTCAAAAATACCATTTCAATCAAATATTTCTTTTTTCTTTTTCTTTTTTTGGTACCAGGGATTGAACTCAGGTCCTTATCCTTGCAAGGCAGGTGGTGGAACCACTGAGCTAAATTCCCAGCCCCTAATCAAATATTTCTTGAAAGTCACTATGTTTAGTGTTGGATTAAAATAAACATGATAGAGGCCTGTGATTTAGCTCAGTGGTTCCGCCACCTGCCTCACAAGTGGAAGGACCCGAGTTCGATCCCCGGTACCAAAAAAACCCCCCAAAACTGACATAAGGTTAAAAAAAAAAAAACACAATAAAATAAACATGATATAAACCAGGCCTATAATCCCAGCACTTGGGCAGCTGAGGCAGGAGGACTGCTGAGAATTTGAGGCCAGCCTAGTGAGTCCAAGGATGAACTACATAGCAAGACCCTATCTCAAAAAAAAAAAAAAAAAGAGTGAAATCAATCAACAAACAGGATATAAAATTTGCTCTTAAAAAACTATCAATTTGATTGGGCAAAGAACATTTACTTAACACAGAAAAGGGTAACATTAA